TTATTTAAAAAAAAAAAGGAAATAAAAAATAGATAACAGTTTTGTAGGAGTTTAACCTACATATCCTTAAATATTTGTTAAACTATATTATAGTTTACAGGTAAATTTACATTGTTTTATGACAACAGCAATTATTTGTACCTTTTTTCATTCATTCATTCATTCATTCATTTTCTTTTTCGGCTTAGTCCCTTTATTAATCCGAAGTTGCCACAGCGGAATGAACTACCAACTTATCCAGCACATTTTTACGCAGCGGATGCCCTTCCAGCTGCAACCCCTCTCTGGGAAACATCCATACACACTCATTCACACTCATACACTACAGACAATTTTACCTACACAATTCACCGGTACCACATGTCTTTGGACTGTCGGGGAAATCAGAGCACCCAGAGGAAACCCATAGGAGAACATGCAAACTCCACACAGAAATACCAACTGACTCAGCCGAGGCTCGAACCAGCGACCTCCTTGCTGTGAGGCGACAGCACTACCTACTGCGCCACTGCGTCGCCTACCTTTTTTCAATTATTCATAAAAAGATTTTTTAAAGGTATGTTAAAAGTGGAAAATTTTACAGAATATTTAGAGATTTCATGCATAATTACATAAATTAATCTGTATAATTACAGTAATAACCTGCATAATTGCAGTAATAATCATTATAATCAAATTAATTATCTGTATAATTACATTAATAAATTATATATTTACAGTAATAATTTGTAAAATGTAAGTAATAATCTGTGTAATTGCAGTAATAATTAGTAAAATGGCAGTAATAGCTTGCACAATTACAGTTAAAATATGTAAAATGACAGTAATAACTTGTAATTATGGAACTAGAAATTACTGTTTTTTCACAAGTTATCTACATTTTTTTATTCTGAGTTTTTTTCAGTTTTTTGGGTTTTTACAGGTTTTAACAGTTTTTTTTTTTTTTTTTTTTTTACAGTGTATGATTTGTACACAAAATAAGTGATTTGACTGCACTACTCCTTGAAACAAGAAAAGTAATTATTTGGCAGTTCAGAAATAAAAATGAACTTTTTATGTTCGGATATGCACTACTGGGGTAGATTGGGGTGAGTACGATGTTTTCAAATTGTAAAACAGCAAAAACACTGATTAAGAAAATGATGTGTTTCGCAGTGCTGCACTAAGCCAATTCACTGACTGGAGAGGAAATATGACTTTAAAAACTGCTGTAACACACATTCAGCACAACCGGGCCAGAGGGAGAAAGAGAAACAGAGCAATAAGGGAAACACCTCTTTGTCTCCATGTAACAACAAACCCAAATCTCAGTGTCATGCAATAATTTGAGGAATTCAGATATGAGCTGCTCGCAGTGAGTTCAACTAAGTACAGCCTCAGGGCCGGACTCCTTATCTGACTTATGATTCCCTTCCCAGTCCTCCCCGAGCACATGTGTGTCAGTCCGGCCTCTGTTTTTCCCCTCCACAGGAAGGAGAGGCGTGTGTTTAAGGTATCAGGAGACTCTCTGAAGCGAGCCAGACTACTCTCCCTTTCACAGCTGCCACATCACAAGACTCTTAAGTCAAGGTTCACAATAAAAGCAAAGAGGCCATTCCAGAAATGAGAGCTGTCATCCATCTGGAAGGCGACTCCTAGTCAAATCTGTGCCCAAAGCTCTAGAGTGTGTTCATTTGTACCTCTAAACCATTCTGGTACCTCAGCGCACTGAGCTGTGAGCTCTGGAATTTGCAAAGTGTTTATTTCTTTCTTTCTCCACCACTTTATGCTTTGGAGAGCGCTGCTGCTGGAATGTTAATGACATCATCAAAGAGCTCAGAAAGATTCCCAGGCGACAGGTGCCAGGAGATTTCAGGAGCAACCCCTACCTGAGTAGCTCTCTCCTTTCATCCTTTGCTACAGTACGATAACACACACACAAATGCCACAAAGTGCCACCAAGGCCTGCTGCTTAAGTCTGACAGATGGCCCCATGAAAATACAGCACCCGCTTTCTCATTTGGAGCATTTTTCAATTCATTCGAGACTGCTCAGAGGTCACTTGAGACTCTTGGCTCTAAGCTTGTGCATCGCTCTCATGACGCTGCCTAAACCCACACTGAACAAACCTGACATCAAAAGAGAGTGTTCAGAAGATTAAAGGCTATCGGTCGGATCCTGAATCAGAGTAATGTACACTCGGTTTTATCAAAGGTGGAGAGAAAAGGATTGTTTCAGCAGAGAAGATGACTGTTGGAGTCCTGTTCAAGAAATGCACACAAGTAGTGCACAACAGGGAGGTACAGAATCATTTTTGTTAGAAGACAGAGATAAAGAGCCCCTATTATTGGTTTTTGAAAATGACCTTCCATGCAGTGTGTAACACAGCTCTGAGTGAATAAAACATCCAGCTGAGGGTTAAATCTGAAAGTGCACCTTGTTTAAAACAAATCGAATCCAATCGAGTCAGGTTCAGATCTTTTGTTTGATCGTATTGACGCCGATACGGTACATCACCAAATATGTAGTTCCAGTTCCGGTAAAATGTGATTTTGAGACAATATATATAACCTACGCTGCAACGCAGGATTCAACAGCCATTTGCTATTGAAGGAGCAGCAGACTATGGGACTATGTCAGACTTTGACAGGGACTTTGTCAGTAAGTTTCTTCTTCCTCCGGATCATAACATGTAAGTGTCATTCAATTGTTTAGTTTGTGTGGTTTTGTTTTTAGTTTTGTGTAGTTTGCAAAATTTGTGTTTAATTGTGTGTGACGCGGGCTTCTTCCTTTACCGATTTTAAATGCGTTTCTGAACTGGCGATCCGCTGCCGTTTCTTGCTTTCGCCACCATCAGCTGTTCCTAACGCATACAGCACGGTCAATTTTAAAAATAGTTCAACATTTGTGTGGTTATTGTTATCGTCCCATGCCTACTTAGTTGCATGTTGAAATACACAGGTATTCTTGCAAAGCATTAGAAGAGCCTTCCCTCTTCGCCAAATCATTTTCTCGTTTTCATCATTTACGTTTTTACACTTATGCATAGATTCATTTGCTAAGCTGAACATCTAATAAGAATGATCTTTTTTGACAGCCCTGACGCCAACATACTGAATCAGATAAATTGCCAAAAAACAAACACAACATGAGCCTGACAGTGTGATTGTGTGAAATAGGTGTGTCACAGTTTTATGGCTGCTGAAATTTCAGAACTAACTGTGAACCAAATGAGTTATTGTTTACATTTTTCCAGAAAATGGGCATTTAGGGATCATATGAAAACAGCACCAATTTGAAAATGTATGCATTTTTTTTGGCAATGGTGTTTATGAAATGCTGTTTCATACCAGTAAATGACAAGTTTAACAATGTGAGCATATTCTGTAAAGTCAGAACTGTTAGCCCCCCTTTTAATTTTATTTCTCTTGTAAATATTTACCAAATGATGTTTAACAGACCAAGGAAATTTTCACAGTATGTCTGATAATATTTTTTCTTCTGGAGAAAGTCTTATTTGTTTTATTTCGGCTAGAATAAAAGCAGTTTTTAATTTTTTATGAACCATTTTAAGGTCAAAATTATTGGCCCCTTTAAACTATTTTTTTTTTTCGATTGTCTACAGAACAAACCATCGTTATACAATAACTTGCCTAATTGCTCTAACCTGCCTAGTTAACCTAATTAACCTAGTTAAGCCTTTAATTTTCACTTTAAGCTGTATAGACATGTCCTGAAAAATATCTAGTAAAATATTATTTTATTCTTTTTTTATTTTTTAATATTCTTTTATTATTTTTATTCTTTACTGTTATCATGACAAATAAAAAAAATCAGTTATTAGAGATGAGTTATTAAAACTATTATGATTATAAATGTGTTAAAGAAATCTCTCTGTTAAACAGAAACAGGGGGGAAAAAAAACAGGGGAGCTAATAATTCCGACTTCAACTGTATGTGACCCTGAACCCCAGTGTTGCATGGATATATTTTTGGATATTGCATGAGTGAAAATGATTTTCCCTTTATGCCAAAAATCACTAGAAGATTATGTCAAGATTATATTCCATTAAGAAATTGTGTAAATTTCCTACTGTGAATACAAAAATATGAATTTTTGATTAGTAACATGCATTGCTAAGCACTTTCTTTGGACAACTTTAAAGGCAATTTTCTTAAATGTACATGAAACACCAAAACACATTTTTTGAGCTGTTGACAGTTGTATATGTGTCACACACTGCTAAAAACACTATTAGGACACATATATTTCACTAAAAAGTGAAAATTGGTTGTTTTTGTGTTATTACGAGCAAACTCATACTTCCGGTCTGAAACTAATTTTTGAAGCTGCGTTAGGCCATGAGATCTTAGCGTGTATTCCAGCGTGTAGACTGGACGTCTGTACCTGGGAGTTGCTTATTACGTCTCTGAGTGTGTTGTATTCATTCATGAGTATGACTTGAAACCAATCAGCGCGCTCTATTATGTATGAGGTGCAACTTCATTAACATCCATGACAGTTACAGTGTTCAGACGGCAGAGAGAAGCCAGGTTGTGCTGCAAAGCGAGAGAACAAGAATTGTTTGGAGATACGGGTTGTCACACTGTAAAAAAATAAAAAGTTGAGTAAACTTAAAATTCTAAAGCAACCGGCTGCAAAGAAATTTTGAGTTTACTCAACTTCAGTGGTTGAAGTTGTGCCAAATTATTTTTTTAAGTTGACTGAAATGGCTGGTTTAAGTCATGACAACTTTCAAGCCTAAATTTATCTAACTTGTCATTATGAGTTTGCCTAAAATTAAACAGGTGTTGAGTAAACTGTAATAAATGAGTTGGCACAACTTAACAGAAGTTCAGTTAACTCAAAGCTGTGCAGCTGGTTGCCTTAATTTTTTAAGTTGATTTAATCTTTATCTTTTTATTCATAATTTTATGGAAATCTTATATCTGCGCTTCTCAATTAAATACCTGTATGACTCTATGTATGAAGTTAAGAGATTACAAAACACACTATAAAACACAATATCAAAGAATATATTTATTGACAATTCTGCAAACAGCTTTCTGTCCAAATGAAATGTACTGCAGTCCAGTGAAGGAAAAGAGGCAACAAAAAGGTAAATCCTCAAATCCTATATTGCCTTTTAAGTGCTCGAGTTAAGCAAAAGTAATATTTAAAATGCTTGCACCATCAACATTTTTTTTCAAAGTGCAAAAGTAATTAGTTTTGTCACGATATTTTAATTTTGTTACCCATCAGTTCTATAATTTTAAAAACGTCCATTTCCTGCTAACATTTGAGCGTTGTTGACCATGTTTTAAACACTGTTATATTGCCATTGTGTTCACATGCTCAACAGAAAAGACTGATTGGGCGTGAAGATCATCAGTTCACCAAACTCACTGCTGTTTACTGAGTGTAACCACAGATACAGGGACACTTAAGAATTTCACATTGATCAACTGGTCTGTGTATAAGCTGACACAAGTGTTACGCTGATGGATCGACTATGCGACGTTTTGGTTTTGAAACACTCCAGTTTGTGTGTGTGTGTGTGTGTGTGTGTGTGTGTGTGTGTGTGTGTGTGTGTGTGTGTGTGTGTGTGTGTGTGTGTGTGTATCTGTGTTTGCACTCCATGAACATCAGTGAAGAGCAGTGAAATGGTGAACTTCTCAGCCAATCACAGTCATTTATGTTGAGCGCTTGAACACAACAGCCAATCTATCAATTGGTGGGAAATGGATGTTTTTAAAATTTGAAAATGTAAAATCAAAACTGAATTTAAGTTTGGTGACAACACCAAGAGTAACACTATTTCAGTGTACAAACAAATTCATTTTGTTTTTGAAAGACTGGACTCTTGCTGAGCACTGAGGATCAAGGCCAATAAACACTTTCTGAATAGTTTCAAAGATGTGTTTCAGTTCTTTGGGGTAGTTCATAATGAGGAAATTAATCAAACCAAAGAGGAGAACAACAGCTGTCGGAAGATCTTTACCAGCATGATTTGCTCTCCCAGAACCACAGACAGGCACCTTACATTTAGGTTGGTCTGAAGAGTGGCAACATCATCTTCAACAGTGCTAAGGATGTCCATCTCCATCTCTTTTGTGCAAATATCTTCTGGCTCTGTGTCCTGCAGTAAAAAGAAACATAAAAAGAGGATGAAAAACTATTTTTACTGCTAAATCACAAACATCTCCAAAAAGCAAGGTAAAAAAAAGCAAAGGCAAAGCAACTTAATTTGGAAACTGAAGGTAGTAATGTCAGTAACACAGTCATTTATATACCTTCTATTTATAAAACTTTTCAGGTAACACTTTTATAATAATGAATCATTTAATAAGCATTAGCAAATAGTGAATTGATTATCCGTTAAGCATCAACTCTACATGAATAAACATTAGTAAGCTATTTAATAAGTACTAGTATCTAATAAATAAGTACTAGTATCTATTAAATAGATACTAGTACCTGATGAATAAGGACTAGTATCTAATACATAAGTACTAGTATCTATTAATTAGGTAGTAGCATCTCAGTAACAGGTACTAGTACCTAATGATTAACTACTAGTAGATAAAAATATGCACTAGTCACAGCTGGAATACATACTAGTCAAAACTGAATAGTTGATATCTCAATTAGAGATCCCATAGAAATGAATGGGAAAATGTTTAATTCATTACGAGTAACAACAGAATAGTAACTAGTCACTATTAAAATAAGTACTAGTAACTAATAAATAAGAACTAGTATCTAATAAATAAGTACTAGTAACTAATAAATAAGTACTAGTAACTAACAAATAAGAACTAGTATCTATTTAATAAGTACTAGTATCTAATAAATAAGTACTAGTAACTAATAAATAAGTACTAGTATCTATTTAATAAGTACTAGTATCTATTTAATAAGTACTAGTAACTAACAAATAAGTACTAGTATCTAATAAATAAGTACTAGCATCTAATAAATAAGTACTAGTATCTATTTAATAAGTACTAGTAACTAACAAATAAGTACTAGTAACTAACAAATAAGTACTAGTATCTAATAAATAAGTACTAGCATCTAATAAATAAGTACTAGTATCTAATAAATAAGTACTAGTAACTAATAAATAAGTACTAGTATCTATTTAATAAGTACTAGTATCTATTTAATAAGTACTAGTAACTAACAAATAAGTACTAGTATCTAATAAATAAGTACTAGCATCTAATAAATAAGTACTAGTATCTATTTAATAAGTACTAGTATCTATTTAATAAGTACTAGTAACTAACAAATAAGTACTAGTATCTAATAAATAAGTACTAGCATCTAATAAATAAGTACTAGTATCTATTTAATAAGTACTAGTATCTAATAAATAAGTACTAGTAACTAACAAATAAGTACTAGTATCTAATAAATAAGTACTAGCATCTAATAAATAAGTACTAGTAACTAATAAATAAGTACTAGTATCTAACAAATAAGTACTAGTAACTAACAAATAAGTACTAGTATCTATTTAATAAGTACTAGTAACTAATAAATAAGTACTAGTATCTAATAAATAAGTACTAGTATCTAATAAATAAGTACTAGTATCTAATAAATAAGTACTAGTACTTAATGTAAAAAATACTAGTATCTAAAATATAAGTACTAGTAACAAGAAAATAGATACTAGTAGGGGCTATAGAATAAAAGTTAAAACGGCTTGCCATAGGTCATTAGCTATTGTCACATTAAACCAGATGCTCTGACCCTGAGAGATGACAGGTGGCACCACTTTACAATTGAAGGGCATTAATTATGGTTATTCACAGGTTAGTCATTTTCATCAGAAATTCCCAACATGTTTTAATTATTAAAAATGAAATTTGCTTTATAATTATTGTTGCAGCACCTGTTTTCACTCCCTGGTCAGCCGGACTCAGTCATGGTTGTTCTACTAAAGACTAAGTGATGAAAATGTAGCATCCTTTACTGAGGTGAAAACAGTGCTACAAACTTTTCTTTTAGGGAACAAACTGTTTTGTAACTTCAAAGATAAATTACCTGCATGAATTCCAATATTGCACACAAAAAGAGAAACTCCATGGTAAACTCCATAAAGTTTAATATGCCCCCCTTTTTTCAGTGATATGATTGAATGCTAAATAATTACTTGATTGTCCAGTTGGTCCAGGGCGGTCCTTATTATCTCTCCATATCGCCCACCACATGATCCATAAAACTTGATAGCGTATTCATCCGAAAAAGAGAAGGTATCTTTGAGGTTGGTTTGAGTAATCCTGTAAAACTCAGCATAGACCTACAAACAGACCATAAAAAAATGAATAGTATGAATTGTGAACAAGGGTTATACATTTTGAAATAAATAATCTCAAATGCAAACTTGCCTAAACTCCCAAAAACATGCAGGCCACTGTTTTCGGACATCGGCTACAGGAGGTTAAAAAAATCAAATAGTCAGTAACTGCAGCAGACTGTTAATGTGCTAATGTCAAATGTGATTTTAATGCACCTACAGTCTTTAAAGTGCAGAAGCAGTCTGCGAACAAACAAGGCTGCTGCCAGGATGGTCCTTGATAGCGATGTAGCCTGTAGTGTAACTTCTCAGCTACTGTTTACAAATTTGCAAAACTTACACTGCATTCCAAACCTATAAAAAAGTAAATAAAAATGTAACATTGCAGGTCAAATTGTTTTCATAAATTAAACTGATGTTTTTAAAAAGCACAATATAAAATAAATATTGCAAACATAAAAAGAGAAGATTTAAATAATACATACATACATGTTACTTAACTCATAAATGGTTAATGTATGCCAAATAAATAATCATAAAAACCACAAGCTCCTGGAATACTATATGTACACTACTAGTGACTGTATATTTAAAGTGGTATGCTAAATATTATTTTGAAGTGGTTTTAATGTTATCGCATTGCTGTTTTAATACAGACACAACAGGGTTAACAATACAGTGGTGACCGGCCGCTCAGATATGTCTGTTTGCAACAACAATATTTCACTACATTTCCCTCCAGTTTAAGAAGCAAATTAACGTTAAACAGTCCTTCAAATGAAGCAAACTTCACAGGTGGCTAGCTTGTTAGCCCGAGCTTGTCAGAAATGATCTTCACACGATGTAACTTAGTTTTTTGGGAACATAACATTACATTTTACTTTAGATTTGCACGCTATTTAGATTAATTTTGATAATAAAGCTAAAACAAAGCTTACCTGAATCAGGAGATGGCAGCTGCTGCTGGTGAGAGGACACCTCGTGCAAAATGGCACCCGAAGACAGACTGAGCATGTGCAAAGACGGGAAGTAGATGATCCAGTGAAGAACTCAAAATGTAAAGTCTGCTCAACTTAAGTATTTACTTTCATTGAACAAACCAGTTTTACACCTTCAGTTAACTCATTTTTAAAAGTAAACTCAACACTGAGCTCAAAATATGTCCACCCAACTTACAATTTTGATTTGAGTTAGCAATTTGCAAGTTGGATTTTTTACAGTGCAGTGTTGCTTTTAGGGTTGTAACAATATACCGGTATGACGGTTTACCACGATTTGAACGTGCACGATTATCATACCATGAACAATTGCATATCAACGGTTTTAACCCTTAAAGACCGAGACAGCCGCCCGCGGCTAAAAATAAGTATTGCTCTTAAATGTTTAATAACTTTTGATCCGCTGATCCGATTCATACAATTCAAAGATTGGCATAAAGAAGAGAATCTCAGCTTTCCAGTGCTGTATCACATAACATTCGCGGACTTTCAGAGGCTCCGGAATCAGTGCGGTTACGTCATCAACATTTGACAACGCTGATTTGACAAAGAAACGCTCGTCACTGTGTCTCCGGACAAATCAGACATGATACATTGATGCATTGTCCCTCCTCCATGCCCAGATTGGTTCAAACTCGCTATATCACAACCAATAAGCATAGGTTTCGCTTTTGTTTGTGGACCAAGCTTTTTGAACAACACGGAATGAGAGATAGGCATACATTTATGCGCGGCTAAATAAAACGCAAAAAAAAAAGTTTTGCATGAAATAATTCTCATACTAAATACTTTTGCATGCACAGCAGAACAGAAACATGACAAAACAGTGACACAGCAAAGACGAACTGCTGCTCTTGCTGTTTTCAAAAGACGCAAATGAAGATGCAGCTGTTTGTCTGCATTGCAGACAACCATATCCAAATCCATATCGATAGACAACCATATCCATGCTGGCACATAAAACCTAAGGATGTTCCATATTGAATCTAGTTTCGTTATGTAACTATTTATAGTATAGTAAATATTTATATCTATTTTTTACTGAGGATTTGCACCATGTTTATTTGGACTTTATTTGGACTTTGACACATTATTTATTATTTTCTTATTTTTATTTGTTCATTGTAAGTGGTGTTGTTTATAGTAACTAAAAATATATTATTTGGAAAAAGTCAAATTTGCTTCACTGTTCTATTATTTTGTAACATTTGTAACATACCGTATACCGCAAAACCGTCAAACCGTGGTATTGTTTTAGACGATTATCATACCGTGAAAAATTCATACCGTTACAACCCTAGTTGCTTTTATAATTTACTGCTGTGAAGGATTTGTTTTCATTTTCCCTCTATGAGAGCGCAGCTGGACTCAGGATTACAATGCACGCGACGTTCAACAGAAATATGTGTCTAAGGAACATTTTTTTACCCGAGAGCTTTTCTTTTCTGGAAATGGTGAAATCCGGATTTGCCGCTCGTCTCCTTTTAATAAAAACGCAGATCCAGTTTGTGTAAATTGTCCTGTCTCTAAAGATTTGATAAGTAAGCGACTAGTGGTCTTTGTTTGTTTATTCAGAGGCAAAGTTAGTTCGTATTGTCAGCAGTACTCTTTCAGTGTTTAAAAGACGAACTTTAGTCAAATGATTTTTAAGTTAATAAAGTTTACCGTACGTTAACATCACTACAATATTATGGACTAAAAAATCCGCTGTATATGCTGCTCTCCGGGTACAAACATGTAAGCACCACAATAAAACTTACCGTCTTGGAGGATTTTCGGCACATTTTGTGATAGGAATAACACACGCGGCTTTCTGACGCTACCTATCGAGTGCATGAAAGTTACAGAGAAATGAGGAGGGTTTTTTCTCTCATTCGCCGTGCGGTATCAAACATTGCATGAAAGATACGCGCTTCCAGCAATTCCTCGAATTAAATATATCGTTTGTCACGAGGGGCATGAAATAAATTGCTGAATGAAAGAGCCAAACTGCAGTTAAAGTCCACCATTTAATAAGTTGGCAAATAATTTGATTACTGATGTCCATGTAAACACAGTCACTGTCTTTCTCCTCTGCGTCTATGTTTGGTTTGTCTGTGTGAAAATCAAATCCAAATTGACACTCCCTTTTTTTTGCAAATTTTTACAGACCATGTCTTTTTTTCCTCCTCCAACACTCCCCCCTAAACAGAGCTGGACACGCCCACTTTCCTGACTTTTTCCAAAGTAGAGGTGTGAAAACACCCTGCTGAAACAAAGGGGGATTCATGGCCCTTTATTATTTGATATTTTTGAACCCTCAGATTCTAGATATGGAATATTAAAGATGTACCTTAGAAAAAAATTGTCCTATTCAAACCAAATATACATCTATTTAAAGCTGAATTTTTTACTTTGCATAAATCTTAATTCTAAAACAAATTGACAATCAAGAATCATTTTGTTTTCCAGGGTCACATATGAAGGTAAAATGTGCTGATGTAAAGAATTCCACTAGGTGGATGTTGTGCCACATCTTGGTCAATATGCTCAAGGTCAGGGACCCAGAAAAGCACATTTCAGCATGTGAACTGTTTATTAATTATGTCAAGAGATAAAAAAAGAAAAAACACGTCAAACTACTGCACTTTGCCTCATGCAGATGGATGCAGCATTAAACAACAGTGTCTGATATAGAAGTTAACAGGTTTAGTGCTACTGATATGCAAGTGGTATCTTAGGATAATAAAATGTAGTGAAACTAGTTGACAATTGCTCAGAACCTACTGCTAACAAACAGTAACACAAACAACCATGTGTGGGTGACTTGAGTCAAGAAGCTAAACAAGCAGCGGCGTCTGACTAATGAGAAAATTGAGGCATGTTTACAAAAAGAAAGAGGGGGTTTTCATTTCCATTTAGATTTCCAGATGTTCCTGTATCCCCTAATGTGCTGGACTAATGAAATCATAAAAATAAAACAAACCATCTCATATCTCAGCAGTGGAATTAATTTGTAAAATAACCTTTGAAGAGGCTTCCCCTCACTATGATTGCTGACTAAAAAGTGCAGCATGCAATTTCAGAACTGATTGCATTATTGAGTAGAATTGCAAAAATTATTATTTCCAGCCAGGTTTCCCATATGCCATTGGTCAAGTTGAGTCATGTTTCTCTGTAAATCAACGACAGACCCAAAAAATAAGATGCAAACAACAAAATAACATTCCTAGGAGACACTTGTTTACACTTTTCAGTCAACCATTGAATTAATCAAATTTAAAAAACACTTCATCTTTAAAAAAACACACTGTACTTATTCACAAACCCAAATAATCCCCTTGTAAATTGCAACAATCCTCAATGAGTAGGAGTATCCTGCTAATTTCAGGCTTCCTGCTAAAAAAACTAGCTTTAGCTGTGGCAACAGCTTGTGCCCCTGCTGGAGAACCAAGGCACAAGCTCACGGTGAACCTCCCACTCACTTCACACTTAGCAGGGGTTCAGACCTCACAGCGCGCAACTGCCCTACTGAGCTCCACGACAGGCTCTGCATCAATGAGCTCTGAGCTTCATCCGCTGCTGCTCTACAAAGAACATGAGCGTGTCAGTGAGGACACTATCAGCATATATTGCTCTCCTTAAGATCTTGGTTACAAACAGGAACTGAGTTTTCCCCATTGTAGGGTTGCATCTGGAAGGGCATCCGCTATGTAAAACATATGCCAGAGTAATTGGCGGCACAATCTGCTGTGGCCACCCCTGATAAATCAGAGATTAAGCTGAAGGATAGTGAAGAGGAACTGAGTTAAAAAGGATATTTCACCAAAAAAAACTAAATTCTGCTGTCATTTACTTATTGTAAAAATGTATAAAATAATGTATAAAATTCCCAAAAGAAATTGTTACTCCACCCTGTTTACAGCGTCATTATGGACGTTTAATGTTACAACTAACGTGGTTCAAACAATGGATCTGGGACAGGGAAACTTCTTGTTTTGGGAAACACTCATCACTACATTTTT